TGTCAATTTCCTCATTGTTAAGGTTATAGAGTCCCTATGCAGTTTTAAAAGTCAATAACTTTATAAGCTCACCAGTGCTTATGAGGGTGCACCCTGTTCTAGTAGCAAATAATTCCCTATCAGCTATCTATGCAAACACTTGCCGTCTAAGGAGGCAATTTTTTTCTAGGAAAGACCGGTCCAGCTTACTAGGAAAGGTACAAGGAATGCCTTGCTCACTGCTCCACACTGCTACGTTTAAAACCCTTTTCATTGTAAAATCATTCATTTAAACAATTAGGCCACATTTCAGTTTCCTAAGTGCTCACAATCGTTCTCACATTCTGTTGTGACAAAAATCTGGAAAACCCATGAGGCAGACTCGGTCAGGTCTGTGCTTCACCCACGAGCCTTGCAGTTAACAATGAGCACTCAGTGCCATGCATGCCTGGGCTGAGTCCTGGTTCTGCCACTGCCTGATCTGGGGCACTTACTTCACCATTCAAAGCCTGTTTCCTCAGCTAGAAAACAGGGGTTAGAACAGTGGCTGCTTCATCGAGTTACTGTGTGGATTAAATGAAATAACACATGTAAGTCCTAAAACAGTGACTGGAACACAGGATGTCATCAATAAATCTTACCTAATATTATTATTATTATTTTAAAAGGAGAAGACTAACAACCCTTCTTGTGTGAAGAGCATCAGCAAAAATAAACAACAGCATTAAAAACTCCATAATGCACTGTGTTTATGAAGGCCTCTGCTCTCCACAGAAGTTGATGCTTCTCTTTCAGAGTGCGACTCTGTTCATGCCGCCAGGAAAATCTGTTTACACTAGGCTGGTTTACAGCTCTTTAGAAATAGAGTAGGTTGTCAGATGGTCATATGTCTTATTAGGGAGACCGCTTCATGGATGGGGTAGAGGCTGATCACTGCACTTTACACCTGAAACTGATGTTGTATAACATTGTATGTCAACTAAAATTGAATACATATATAGTTGCGGGATGTGGAGTATAGTGTGGAAGTGGAGTGAAAGGAATTGTAATAGATATGTATGATATGGGGCGGGGGGAGTGGGGCAGTGGATTGGGGGAGGGGTGTTGTCACTTTGAGGGGTAAAAAGTATAACNTAAAAAAAAAAAAAAAAGTATGAGATTGTCTTTGTGATGACAGGAAGAACCAGGATCATACCCTCACAGAAGACAGGTCACTGGAATGGTCAGACCCACTGAAAAATTATTATTTTCTTACATGGATTTTGAGTTTAAAATGACCCTAAGACATCACCCAAGCCGACTTCCTTTCTGCTGTGAGGAGACTGGACCCAGGATTCTGGCTGAGTCCAGATGGTTAGTGAAATGCCTGTGAGATGGTACTACTGTGGCCCTTAAAATATCTGTGGATATTTTAAACACTATCTTGGTTTTTGAAATCTAAAACTCTAGGTATTCTTACTATGTTGTGAGCCAATGACCTCTGTATCTGTAATTACTACTATATAAATTAGTACTTTCATTTGTCTTAAAGTAAATTACTTCAAGTGATATGCCCTCATTTCAGGGTTGGATAAATGAGTTTATGATATATTAGTCATGGTTTTGAGGATAAAAAAAATCAGCACTGTAGTTAATAATTAAAGAAGTTACAACTCTCCCCCATGCACAGGGAAAAATTGCTTTTCTAGAAGGATATTGATACTTGAAATGCCATTACTCCAATAACATTGCTTTGAATTCAGAATCAGACATACTAATTCAAATGTCTACCTTTTTCATCCATAAGGATGGAAGTAATAAAATATTAAAATAAAGGACTATGCTGCCTTACATTTTAAAATACATGAAAAAACTCCAAAACTTAAGCATTAAGAAATATCTATTAATTTGCTTTCATTTAGTAGTTAATTATCCTCAGTTAATATAAGGGCACAGATGATTTAAAGATATATCAAACAGAACTTAGTTCTTTACTTAATATAATCCACTGCCGCTAAAACATCCCAACTCAACTCTACAAGTGAAATAAAAAATAAATGACTGAGCTTACAGTATTTTAATAGTTACATAAAATAATGTATATGGAAGTACTTGGCCTATAATGAGCATTAAAAAGAAATAATGTCCATTCTTCAGAAGTAGTCTGCCATCTTCTAAAGGATGGCTCTATATAAATATTGATCAGTTCACTCAGAAATATGAACTGGCATGACTAACACCAAGCAAGTCCAACTAAAAGATGAAGTAAGAAGAAATCCTGCCTGACTTAGATATGCTTTTATAAACCCTCCCCCCAATTAAAAAAAAAAACTTTCAGGTTCTGATCCTCACCATCATTTCACATTAAATTAGGTGTATTTTCAATAATGTACAAGAAAATATTACCATAAAACATAAAACATCTAAAATAGAAAACCTCTTTCTACCTGAGTACTTCCAAATAGCACTAATATTAACTTAAATTACCTGATTTCAGGAGATGAAGAGATTTCATTTGTGTCTGTTCTTTTATTTCTGGGAAATGATGGACTAGCCGGAGGCATCTCCCCACTTAAGCGGTCAGGGAAAATGCGATCTTTATTCAGATTTATTTCTGAATAGGGACAGTTGGCAGCACTAAAAGATTAAGAGAAAAAAAAGAACATTTCTATTAGAACATATTTACTTTTTCCAACTCAAATGACATGCTACAGATTGTAAAATTCCAAAATTTGAGTATGTTGTATGTGTTTATATGTGTATATGTATGATTAAACATATAGTATGAAATACAGAGGATGACAAAAAGGTATACATATTTTAAGAAAGGAAACATTAAAATTGTAACACTCAATATATGCTGATAAAAAAAGATGAACACAAGTCATGTTTGACTTCTGCAGTTACAAGAGGCGTTCAAAGTGGTTACCATCAGCTTCCAGACACTTCTGATTACGGCAAACTACTGCTTGAACAACGCTGACCACAGTGTCCACTTGTATATATTTTTTGGCACCGCTGCTATTTTATCTTCAAAGTATAATTCAAATATATTTTGACAGAAATTATGTTTCTTACACTAGGTTTTTTGGAAATAATCTGATGCAATCTTTAGAACTGAACAATGGTCACTGAAGAACTCCCCCTTTATTATCCAGGGAGGAATAATACAAGGGCAGGGCTTGCATATCTCTGGGAACAATCAGCCCCAAAAGAGAAATACATGAGACATTGTAGGAAGGCTACTGATAGAGGCTGGACAGAGACTGATGGATGGATGGAGTGGGTCTGCTTCCTAAAGCGATCCTCCAGGCCCAGGGTCATCACACCATTTAACTTCCTTTATAACTGCTGTCGCCCTGCCCCCAAGGAAAGAAGTTCCCTCCTGTTCCTGTCTTCTGGTCTGGATGTGTACCTGAAAACCTAGAAAATCCATATATCCATCTGTAGCTGATCCTGTCTCTAATATGAATAGGCTCCAGAGGCCAACTTGGATATTGACCCATCCAGCGCACTTCCCTTTCATCAGTGACCACTGGCTGGTCTCTCAGGTCCCCTTGGGGGATCATTCTTATTATCCAAGCAAAGGAACTCCATGTCACTGATTGTTAAGGTAACCTTAAGTCAGTAAACTTCTGTGCCTGGACCTCAGCTTTCTCATGTCCAGAACAACTGGGCAGCCTCTGTATCTTAATACCTGATCAGCCCCTCCAACTAACTGCCTATCTTGGCCCTCCCTCTGTTTTTAGAAAACCTCCTTAAGTCTGGAAATGGTCTGTACCTTAGGCAAATTATATTAGCATCTTACATATTCTTTTCCCCAGCTTATGTGGTAGTGGGAATGTTGATAATTGCCCAGGGAAACTTTTTAAACAGTGCATATCTACCCTCTATCAAGAGAATCTGATATATCCCCCTGAGAGAAGAAGGAAGGAGTCGGAAAATGCTCCCAAGTGATTCTGAGAATGGCCTATAAAATGTATCACATATATCTTGTAAGCAAAAATGCAATCTTTATTTTCTTTAACTACATGCTATTCTACACTGATATCTGTGCAAAAGAAAAAAGTAACGTGATCATGCATTGACGTAAATGTAGATAATGTTAACCCAATAATAACAAAAACAATAACTGGTAATATTTATGGAGCACTTACTATGTATCTAGCACTGTACTGTTTTACATGCAGTTAAAATAACTGTAAAATCTTAATCCTGACAACAGGATTGACAAAAGGAAGGCTTTTCATGTGACAAACTAAGGCTTAAAAAGGTTAAGTAATTTCAGTTTTTATTTCACTCATTTGTTCAACAAGTATTTAACAAGTATTTATTATGTGCCAATTATCTTTCTAGGCATTGGAAACACAGGGTAAAATAAAAGGACAAGATCTCCGCTCTCACAGAGCTGATGTTCTAGGGGGAGATGGGTAATACACAACTACACAAATAAATAACTTGTAGTGACTTCACACAGTGACAAATGCCACGGAGTATAACATAAAGGGAAGCTGTGGGGTTGTGATCAGTAGTGAGGGAGGGCCTCTCTGAAGCAACAGCACATGAACAGTGCCCTCAAGGCCGGGAAGACAGGGAAGAGCATTCCAGGAAGTGGGAAGAGTAGTGGAAACACAGGGGAAGCTTGGCACGTTTGCGGGAAACAAAGACCAGCTAGGCCGCCAGAGTGATGTGACCAGGGGAAGATGAAGCAGCTGTGCGGGGTGGGGGAGGATTATGCAGGGCCTGGTAGGTCATAGTCACAAGTTCATATGTTTAGCTTAGGTTCGATTTTGAAGCCACTGGAGGAGCTTCAAATAAAAGAATGATATGGTTTGATTTACAATTTAAAACAATCGCTCTCAGGATGCTTTGTGGAGAGATTTCTAGGGGACAGAATTGGAGCAAGACAAGTTTTTTAAGAGTAAGGAAACGATGGTGGCTTGGATATCGGCGGCTGAGATGAAGAGGACAGCCATGACACATTCACAGATCCCTCCCAGGAGCCCTGCAGATGGGCGAGTGCTAGGTAATGATATAAAGGAAGGAATTAAGAATGGCCTTTAAGCTTCTGGCTTTAAGAATTCGGAGGTAATAGCGATGCCATTTCTCCCCTCTCCCCCCAAATGAGAACGAATAGAGGGGCATAAATTTAGGGACATCGGGAATTGTGGAATACTTATTAGATATCTATGCAGTGATGCTGCTTGCCCATGGTCACATAGCAATGAAGTAGCTCAGGTAAGTGAACACACTATTTTATTCATCTTATTCAGGATAGGCAGACTCTTTCATTTCATTTTATTCGTTTAGTAATGATGTGAAGGAAAATCCATCTCCAACCCATGATATGTCTCCTTTGAACAATAACCCTTCAAATGCTTCATGGAATCTTTGACTCTATTATATTTTTTCTTCCTCATATTATATATTTCTATTGCAAATTTATTGCATTTTGTGACAGCAAGAAAAAAAATCTAAATACGAATTTTCAGTTTCTTTTGACAAACAGTATGCTGCTATTCCTAGAATACTGCAACCATCATATGTTTCACTCACCATTAAACACTTGGCTTTACAATTCCTGAATAACTGCCTGCACATTTACCTTGAAATTTGATCAGATATGAAGAAAGGAATGCAAATGAGAGTCTTGTTCGTAACCCCATCCACCACTCTCACACCAGAAGACTCAGGATTCTTAGGAGGGCCGGGTCCCCAGCTACACATGGTAGTGAACAGTTATAGCTTTGAATACTTATAAGTTCCACAAGGCCATCCCCTCATCTACTTGTTGAATAAGTGGAGAATACGTCTCTCTAGATTGCCGTATGTAAATGCAGGCATCTCAGAGAGAGGCAGGGATGCAGGCCCCAATGAGGTTTAGTGCCTCAATAGCCCCCTTAGAGGAATTTCAAACTCTCACCCAGAAGCAGGGGAAATAATGGCAGCCCTCCACGCAGGGACTTACGAATGGGCCAGGGTGATCTACAGGGGAGCCCGCCCTCTCTTC